GACAGCAGATATGCCTTCGCCACTGCTCATGTACATGGAGAAATCTACAGAAGAAGAGGCCTCTTGACCTCGGAGGGTAAGGAAATTAAAAACAAAAAAGAAATTTTAGACCTCTTAAAGGCATTGTTCCTCCCGCATCAGCTCAGCATCATACATTGTCCGGGGCACCAAAAAGATGACTCTGTCGTAGCACGGGGAAATCGGCTGGCTGATCTAACAGCCCGGACAGTCGCCTTACAATCCCCAAGGGGCGACCAGCTGTTGGTCTTGCAGGACCAACAGCCAAGTAGAGACCCCATGTCTTACAGCCCGGAGGACCAGGAACTAGCAAAGAAAATGGGGGCGAAATGGAGCCCCGAGCGACAAGCTTATATAATGGATGACAAATTAGTTATGCCAACCTCCCATACCAAATACATGCTCAAGTTCCTCCACGTGTTAACCCATTTGAGCAAAAACAAGATGAGGGCCCTTCTGGCTGATGAGGCTTCGGACACTGTATTATTGAATCAGGAACAGGTCCTCCAACAGGAGACTTCCAGCTGCCCTGCTTGTGCCCAAGTTAATCCAGGAAAAGCCCATCTGAGCAGAGGGAGCCACCTGCGAGGTCACCGCCCTGGAGTCCATTGGGAACTTGACTTCACCGAGGTAAAACCCGGACTATATGGATATAAATACCTTCTGATTTTTGTAGACACATTTTCAGGGTGGATGGAGATCTTCCCTACCAAGAAGGAGACCGCTAACGTGGTAACCAAGAAGCTCCTAGAAGAAATTTTTCCCAGGTATGGAATGCCCCAGATATTGGGGTCAGACAATGGGCCCGCCTTTGTCTCCCAGGTAAGTCAGAAGGTGGCCAGGCTACTGGGGATTGATTGGAAACTTCATTGTGCATACCGCCCCCAGAGCTCAGGACAGGTAGAACGTGCAAATAGAACCATTAAGGAGACTTTAACCAAATTAATGCTTGCAACTGGCACTAGAGATTGGGTGCTCCTACTCCCCCTAGCCCTTTACCGAGCCCGGAACACTCCTGGGCCTCATGGCCTAACCCCGTTC